AACTGATACCTAACATTGTTGTTTGATTTATTCATTTTCACATGTAATTATGTTTGAGTAATTTGTTAAGTTGTCTCACAAAAATGATATTTTTTCCCCAAATGTGTAGACCACATGAATGTTGACATCAGTTATAATGCAAATCTATTGTATCTGAAACATCATACAATATCACATTTTAGATTATTCGCCCAGAATTCCTAGTGTTATTTTCCTAACCCACTTATAAAAGTTCACCCATAGTTAACTGTCCGATTGAGATGATTAAACTTCAGTTAGTGTAAGTTTTACTCCTACCTATCCCCCGGCCTTGAGTTTGAAAGAAAAGTACAGTCACCAAGATTCTATAACTAATATGGCAACCACACATTAGTTTTTACTGAGGCACATCGCAGTACACTACCTCTTAAAATGAAAAATTATAGTTTGTAGCATCTCACCATTTACTCATTATACTAATCTTAATGATTAGTCATTTAAATTATTCGATAATAGTATGGACAACTTTTTATATTTGTAATCTAATCCGACCGTAGCCTCTACCTTGATATGGTGTTCGGGCTTGCTTATCGTGCTGACGCAACCGAGCTATATTGGCTGCGAAATATGTTCATTTAGATTCTACTATGCCTGGCAGGTCGATTGTAAAACTATAAGACTAAAAGCAGCAACTCAAGGTATGAGGGCGAAGTTGTCCTGCAGACTGTAGAGAGATATGACAGCAGTAAGGTGCCCTTGGTCAACCAACATCTGCAGAGATGCTACCTTCTCACAAGGAAGAAAGGGGTTAGAAAAAAGGTCGACCGTAGAACTTCATCTCACCTTACCTCACAGAATTCCGTCTCCGGCTGTAGAGCTTTATAAACAAGAGCGGAGCTAATACTTTGAAAACTTCTTGTAAAAAGGCAGTGCCTGGCCGGCCAAAATAAGTTGTTCCCTGAGCTCTGTGGTCTATAAAACCCAGACTAATCTACCATCCTTTCCAGGTTCCTTAAAAACACCGATCTGGATCCCAGTAGATTAACGCCTATACGCGTCAGACTCAACGTGACAGTAAGAACTCGTGAAGATGCGGACACGTGCCGTTACCTCTTCATTGTCTCTACCTACGCTCCCACTAACTGCAGCTCATATGAAGTAAAAGATGAGTTTTACAGAAAGTTTTGGTAACTGCAAAAAGTTAGGTGTTTTGATATAGTAATAGTGGCTGGTGACTTCTCAGCAACATCTACCAAACTGATAGATGCTCGGAAACGCATCTTGTCTGTGTCTGAATATGACGAAGAGCGGAGTCAGCCTAGGCGTAAGCTGATAAAAAGCCTACGCAATGATTGTGAACAGTTGTGGGTAGCGAAAGAGAGAGAGAGAGAGAGGAAAGGCGGAGGCTATAGGCAAAAGTAAGAAACTATTTAGACCCATGAAAGAAAACCGGTATTAAAAACCCAAGTGTGAGTGACACTATTTCGGAAAGTATCGTCATATGACTCATTCTCAATCCAGGAGATCCGATCGATGGTCTAAACACATAAGGGATCAGTTCAACTGGCCTTCAGACACACTTCGGTTGCCCACGATTTACAGCTATCCTGATTGTCGAATCGACATAAGTCCTCCGACTCTTTAGGAAGTTGAGAAAGAGATAGGAAATCTGGAGTGAGGAAGAGCAACAGACCTTGACGGTAATGCATACCACCTGGCTCTGAACATGAAGAAGAGCGGAGTCAGCCTATGTGCAAGCTGGTAAAAAGCCTACGCAGTGGTCTTGAACAATGGTGGGTAGCTAAAGCAAGAGAGATGGAAAAGAAACCGTTTGTAGGTAATAGTAGGCAACAGCAAACAACTGTTCAGACTTATCAAGGAAACCGGAATTACGAATCCGATTGTTAGCGAGACCATTTCAGAAAAGAATGGTAATATTATTCACTATCAATCCAGGAGATTGGATCGATGATCTGAACAATTCAGGGGTCAGTTCAACTGGCCTTCAGACACACTTTTAGAAAGTCAAAACTAGAGGTGTTGAAGAATCCAGAAGATTAGGATTTGAGAGAACGCAAAGAACACCTGCGTCATTGCAAACGATTTTGAGCCATATCATTCAGGGTTTCTAACCATCGATTATTATAATCTCGCGGACTCCAACCAGGTAGTCGACAACTACCGACATGACTCAGTCCACTAGTCATGGATTTGTGCCATGTTTTGGTTTGGCCGCCCCTAACTTTCTTCCAACCTATTCCTACACTACAAAACATAGCTCGACGAGGCAGTCATTGGTTAGGCATACGCAGCAATGTGTTTTGATAAATTATGTACGATTATAAAACTATGATTATAAAATGCATCTTCTAATCAGTGATGCACTTTCCACTTAGTTTTCCAATCATAGTAAGATCGATTCAAAATTGTCATATATGTATCTGCATAACTTTAATTTTGTTTGTGAGTTATCATACAATGAAAGTTAAGTCATAAGTTAACTCCGAAATGTTAATGATCTATCTGCATTAATCCAGTTTGATAATGTATTTATGTTTATCAGCAGTTACACTGTTCAAATGTTTGACTTCAAATATAAAATTGCCATGTTTGTTTTTTTGGCCAGATAGCTATCCAAGATGAATTCCACAATAATATTTGTAAATTATATTTCTAAAATATATTCTATAATACTGTAGTAGCTGAGCCTACACAACGTTTAAATCAAAAATGATTAGTCTCCGAAACAAAGTCACCTTAAAATAACTTTGAACATTGGTAGTTAGTAAATATGTGAAGTAAAGACAAAGTAGAAAAAAACACTCCAAATGAATGAATCATAACTCATCAACAGAAAAGGAAATAAATAACTCAATATTTACCACAAGTCAAGTTTCCTTAGTTAATAGGAAAACAAAGTCTAACATGGAAAAAATTTACGATAGTTCTTCCTTTTACCAATTTGGTAAACATTGAGAGCGAGATATTGTGTATCTGTCAAATGTTTAGAATCATATACGATTATTATCAGCAAACCACTCTAAGCAACAATGCAAGCATTTTCGGGATGCGGTTTACCCCCTCCAGATGCAAAATGTTGCCTCAAGATTGGGTCGCATCGGCACCTGAACTAGTGATAGGGAGTGAAGAAGTCAAACGTGTAGACCGCTTCAATTATCTTGAGAGTCCCATCAGTGCTGATGGCCTGGTGACTGACGAAATCTTAGCACGGATACAGAAGGCTCGATCGGCTTTTGCCAACCTGCGTCACTTATGGCGAAGGCAAAATGTCCGTTTGCTGACTAAAGGACGAGTGTACTGCGCACTAGTTCGCTCCGTCTTACTTTATGGCTGTGAAACATGGCCAGTGAGAGTAGAAGATATTCGTAGGTTATTGGTATTCGATCATAGGTGTCTTCGAAGCATTGCTCGTATATTGGGGGACACCCGAGTGAGCAACACTGTTATTAGGAATCGGGTGGTAGGTAAGAATGGCAGATCAGTATATGAAGTGTTGAAACTTCAGTGGAGGTGGTTATGACATGTGTTGCGTATGCCTAACCACCGACTGCCTCAACGAGCTTTGTTTTGTACTGTAGGAGTAGGTTGGAAGAAAGGTAGGGGCGACCAGACCAAAATATGTCAGAAATCCATGAAGTCATTGACAAGTGGATCGAGTCATGTCAGTAGTTGGCGACTACCTGGTTGGGGCCCGCGAGATGATAGTAATCGATGGTTAGGAACCCTGAATTACATGGCTCAAAATCGTTCGCAATGGTACCGGTGCATTCATTCATTGTGTTGTCTCGAATCCTAAACTTTTTAATTCTTCATCACTTTATCTTTATCTTTTTAAATCTTTTTCACAAGATTATACTTCTTAAATAATATCTTCTAATCCTAACCTCTCCGATTACTTCTAATACCGTAACTACCTCTTCTACTACTGGATTTGAATTGACAGTTATATCTCTGTGCTTTTGTGGTATGGCATCATGAACTGATGTACTTACGTACTAAGTTCTACGTTACATCTGACTCACTGACTGATTATCAAGAAAGATACAAATACTACTTACATTTCCGTTTCGATCCACTTGAATATTATGATCAGCCTCATTTCCATTAGTCTGATTATCGACATATTGATTTTTTGTCTTGAATTCATTATTTACATTATCAACATTGATATCCATTGTACCAAATCGTCCTTGTAATTCATCAGCTAACATTTCTGTTGTTGCTTTTTCATGCTGAAAAGATAAAACAAACTCGGTGATAAAAAACGTTGAATACAGAGAAATCATGTAAGATTTGGATAGATTCTTTCAACAATCTTAAATATTGACAAGTAGATTAGCTGAGTAAATAATAGTGATTCAATGTCTGAGGACAGAACTCCTAAACGCTTTTATCTTAGCGTTGTATAATTACGCTAAAATACTGTCTCATATCTGCAGTGAGAGTAAGAGCCTCATACAACTTGCATCACAGAGGTGAGAGGTTGTTTTAAGAAATGTTTTGGCGTTCTAATGAACATTCTTTGTATGAGATGTACCAGATACCAAGTTAGTTTGACATTTTGCATATTTTTATACTATAATGAACTTGAAAGAAATTTGAATATGAAATTAGTGAATAAAAAAGAACTCTTGTGGTAGATTAATTGTTTTTATTGACAAATTATACAGTAAACCATATAATTACCAGACATTCACTAGTCATCTGATTCCATTACGAATGGAATATTAATAGGATACGAAAATGATGTTTCTTTATCAGTTATTTTTTAACGCATAACTGCTAAACTACATTTTTTTCACAGTATTTATTATAGATATTTGTTAACCTACTAGCGACTTTTATGATTTAGTTAGCTTTTAAAGACTAATTAGGTTAATGACATTGTATTTTATATCATAGAAACTGCCGTTAGCAAGTTATGCTGGTCCTAAGAAAATTACCACTGAGTTGAATTAAATAATCATGTTATAGTGTTCAATGAATTAGTTTAAAATTATTACTTGTTACAAATCTAATTGTCTCATGAACATTTCTCGGATATGATTCTTTGTATGGTCATGGATGTGCACGTTTTGTAGATTGTGTTCCGAAATGAACTATTTGAAAATTAACCTGTAAACAATTGCTGATTGATTTATTTTCTCTTTTCCTTTTATTGTTATGGCAACCATTCGAAAAGTACATTGCAGTATGTGCACTAACATGCTAAGTCCACATGGATTGTCCTAGCTCTTGGACAACCTTAGTAATTTTCTCTGCCTGAGTCACTATTCGCACATCTTTAATACCTTGTCACTTATATTCACTCATAATATCTTAGTTATTTTGGCTTGAGTGCATATGTGCATTGCTTACTTCACTTGCCTCATGTCCAGCCTGTTTTCGTCTGACTAAAGATACATAGTCATACCACATCGATCGCATTGAGTTGGCTCAATACCCTTCTTCGCTATGCTTTGCATTGCTTTGAAGCTTTGTATTCACATGTCCGTCTGCTGAAACGACTCTTTGAAAAAAATACTCAGCCAACTGCATCCGCATTAGGCTCAAAACACATTAATTCATTCAGTTTTGAGTTATATTAAATGTTTTAGACCCGATAACTGGATTAGTTGAACAATTATTTAACGTATAACCAAATTTTCGGAAATTAAACTATGTAAAATATTATGTCACACTTTTCTCAAATTTATATTTCACAGTATATAAATATATCAGTTAGAATACTGTTTCTAGACTTACTTGAATTAATTCAATCTCACTGTTGATAGCATCCAATTTATTTTTTAACATGTATGCTAAAGATTGTGGATGTACAGTGGATGAATCATTGTCACTTTTCTGAATATTATATTGTGATGTAGAGTTTGGTAGATGTTTCATATTCATAAAATTAATCATATCATTTAAAGTTAATTGATTAACTGTTTCATGATTTAATTGTAAAGATGGATCATTAAAATTGATCAAATTTTGTCGAATTAACATATCCTGTAATTCAGTTGATTGATATAACCGATTTATATCATTATTATTATTGTCATTAATTGTTCTAGGAGGAGGCGATTGAATATTGTTCAGTTCAATTTCAGGATTCATCTCTATCGGTTGATCCTTATACATTAAAAATGATAAACCAGTAGAAAGTAATAATATTCGAGATAAATTGGTAATAATAATATACAAATTGAAATAATCGATCAATCATAGTTAGAACATTAGTAGAAATCTGGGAGAAACACTGAAAGGCCGTTTGCTCCTGGTATGCGACTCATCAGTAGTGCGCATACACGACCCCTGTACCTCACAGGATTCGAACCCAGGAGCTTCAGTCTTCCGCGCAAACACCGAACTTCTGGACCACTGGTCTGGCATCCAACGGTGTTAATGCCTAACTCTGATCAATCTGCAGATTTTGCGCAACCTCATCCATTTGTCTTCCATGTTTATAATGGTGATCTAACAATGAGTGGTGGATGATTTCAATACACAAAAAACCCTAATCTCCATAACTCTAACTGAAAAATAATGATATGGCTTCAATAAAATTATTTGCATAAATATTGCGTGAATTCCTAAAACTCTGCAATTCCGGTCATCGATAATCCAGAAATCAATTCAGTAGGGTTAAATAATTATCAAAAATTACTTCGTAAAAATGAACATCATTTTCAATGAGTTTTGATATTCTTTTTTTTAAGCTGACATAAAATGAGAAAAAGATTTTGTACAATCTAAATGTTTTCCCTTAAATTTGAGTTCACATCAGAATTTCCACTTGAATTTTGTTTAAGTTGTAAAAAAAATTATAGATTATACCTCACCAGCCTAAAAACTGTATACGATCGATTTTTTTGAACAATTATGTAAGTTATTTGAATTTAGTGTGTTATCACGTCATCACTGATAAAATTTTGTTTTCAATTAGAGTTATGGAGATTAGTGTTTTTACACATTTCAAATCATCAATCAGCCATTGTTAGACCACCATTCGTAACCTGGAAGCACTGGAAGGCCATTTCGTCCTGGTATGTGACCCATCAGCAGTGCGCATCCACGACTCCTGCGCCTCGCAGGATTCGAACCCAGGACCTACGGCAATGTGCGCGAACGCCTAACCATTAAACCACTGGGCCGGTTTCGAACTATGTTAATGTCTAACTCTGATTGATCTAGGGACTTTGCGCGACCTCACCCAATTTTCTTCGGTAGTTACTGCTTGTTTGTTAGATTATTAGTTTCAATGCGATCATTTTCTTTTACATGCTTGCAGATAGTGCAAATTTGTTCTTTCCAATTTACATCATTTAATTTGAATATATATATATATATATATCACTGTTTGACTTGTACATATTCAAATAATTTGAAATACTAAACACCTACTGAATTATTATTAGCTTGTGAATAGATCCATGGATTATTGATCAATTTTGAAATTAAATCAATTGGATTATTTTGATCCATTCCATATTGTTCCATGACACTTGAAGGACATGCTAAGAATAAAATTTAAAAAAAAAAAGAAAGGATGTTCGAATTATATTTTACAGAAATAAAATTAGATCAAGGCCATTGAAAATCAAAATAATGAAGTTTGAATTTTGGAAGCTTGGTACTCAGGTCAATCAGGAATCAGTAAATTTATTGAAATCAACTAACTTTGTGAATTCACCCTCATTTATTGAAAGAAAATTATTTAAAGTTTTCAAAACATGAGTAAAACCCAATTGTGTGCATAATCCATACGCATACTGTTATCGTTTCTCTAGGTCATAGAGACTAACAGTGGCTTTGTCTACCTACACACAGGTTCTTGTATGTTCAAACTAAGTAGGCATTCGATTCAATACATTGGACCGATAGACATAGAAAGTGTTATCTTAATTCTTAGTGCTTTGTATATTTCGTTATGTTTACGCACATGACGTATGATTCGATGCATGTTACAGCCTACAAATTTATTTGCTTTAAGTACTTTTCTACTAATTACTGATATATTGAATGACTCTCATCTATATGGAAATACATATATTTCATTTTTAAACCCAGTTAATCGATTCATCACTGTTTCCGTATTCTTACCAGTCGAATCATCAAGGCAGTTTGCTGATTGTACACTGGCCTTAACTATTTCTGTAAAACATATACCTTAGTAATAACAGTTGCCTACCTGATTGGTATACAAAATATAAGAGAATTTATGCAGATATTCATAGCATACTTCCCACAAAGAGCTAATGAGTCAAGGACCTGATCAGTAATACTACCATTTGTTCTGAATAAATAACGAGCCAGTTTAATGCAGTGATAACCAAAAAAAAAAACTACAGAATGTGTGAAATTTAGAGCTATGTTCCTTAACGAAACTTAGAATTTCAGAAGGCTTTGATTACAGGCCTTGTTTCTTGAAGAACGATATTTCATATGATGACATTTTTATTTCAATAATAGGGTACTTTCTTCGTTTCCTCGTATGTTCTTAGAAACGATTACCCAAAGTTACCTAAAAACAAGTTTATATTTAAATATAATGTGGAATGCACTCTTACAGAAAGCTATAAATGTTTCAAGTTAATTAGGTTTCCGACTTCCCATTTAAGATCATCATTCAATTATAATTATTAAAATCTATGACAGACTATTTCATTATTATTGATATAAAAACTGATTGTGCTTTACTCTCAGCAATAATCATAGAAATGGTGTTCAGTTGAGCTTTATATCTGTGTCGTATAAATAATTAACGTCACAATCTTTAACAGTTGAATTACAGCTTGTTAGAGTATTTTGTGGAAAATTAAACATGATTTGTCAGAAAATGAGTCAAGCATAAGTAATGTGAAAGATTCTCTCCGTAGATTGGAGAACCAACTGCATCGAGCTAATCTAATTTTAAACAGTAGTTCAGTCTGAATAATTTCTGTTAAGCTGAATAAAACCGTGTATCATTCAAAACAAACAGTTGAGTTCTGATCAAAATATACTTGTTCTGGTAGGTGACAAAATAGCTCGTATGATGCATTAGTTATCGAAATTATTTCAGTCAATGTAAATATCACATTTTAATATTTCAACAAATCATAATACAAGCAAACTACAGTAATCTTCTTGAAAATTCTCGTGAAAATTCAAATATTGAGGAACTTCAATTTACGAACAGTTAGATAGTAGACTAATGTTTTTGATCAACTGATATGATGTATAGGTTGTTTTATGATTGAGTATATCCTATTTTTACTGACATTCTTGATATCTTGGGGCAGAGTTTTGGAGATTTGTGTTTTTATACATTTGAAATCATCAATCAATCATTGTTAGACCACCATTAGAAACCTGGAAGCACAGAAGGACGGCCGTTTCTTCCTGGTATGGGACTCATCAGCAGTGCACATCCACGACTCCTACACCTCACAGGATTCGAAGGTCCTGGGTTCGAATCCTGTGAGGTGTAGGAGTCGTGGATGTGCACTGCTGATGAGTCCCATACCAGGAAGAAACGGCCGTCCTTCTGTGCTTCCAGGTTTCTAATGGTGGTCTAACAATGATTGATTGATGATTTCAAATGTATAAAAACACAAATCTCCAAAACTCTGCCCCAAGATATCAAGAATGTCAGTAAAAATAGGATATACTCAATCATAAAACAACCTATACATCATATCAGTTGATCAAAAACATTAGTCTACTATCTAACTGTTCGTAAATTGAAGTTCCTCAATATTTGAATTTTCACGAGAATTTTCAAGAAGATTACTGTAGTTTGCTTGTATTATGATTTGTTGAAATATTAAAATGTGATATTTACATTGACTGAAATAATTTCGATAACTAATGCATCATACGAGCTATTTTGTCACCTACCAGAACAAGTATATTTTGATCAGAACTCAACTGTTTGTTTTGAATGATACACGGTTTTATTCAGCTTAACAGAAATTATTCAGACTGAACTACTGTTTAAAATTAGATTAGCTCGATGCAGTTGGTTCTCCAATCTACGGAGAGAATCTTTCACATTACTTATGCTTGACTCATTTTCTGACAAATCATGTTTAATTTTCCACAAAATACTCTAACAAGCTGTAATTCAACTGTTAAAGATTGTGACGTTAATTATTTATACGACACAGATATAAAGCTCAACTGAACACCATTTCTATGATTATTGCTGAGAGTAAAGCACAATCAGTTTTTATATCAATAATAATGAAATAGTCTGTCATAGATTTTAATAATTATAATTGAATGATGATCTTAAATGGGAAGTCGGAAACCTAATTAACTTGAAACATTTATAGCTTTCTGTAAGAGTGCATTCCACATTATATTTAAATATAAACTTGTTTTTAGGTAACTTTGGGTAATCGTTTCTAAGAACATACGAGGAAACGAAGAAAGTACCCTATTATTGAAATAAAAATGTCATCATATGAAATATCGTTCTTCAAGAAACAAGGCCTGTAATCAAAGCCTTCTGAAATTCTAAGTTTCGTTAAGGAACATAGCTCTAAATTTCACACATTCTGTAGTTTTTTTTTTTGGTTATCACTGCATTAAACTGGCTCGTTATTTATTCAGAACAAATGGTAGTATTACTGATCAGGTCCTTGACTCATTAGCTCTTTGTGGGAAGTATGCTATGAATATCTGCATAAATTCTCTTATATTTTGTATACCAATCAGGTAGGCAACTGTTATTACTAAGGTATATGTTTTACAGAAATAGTTAAGGCCAGTGTACAATCAGCAAACTGCCTTGATGATTCGACTGGTAAGAATACGGAAACAGTGATGAATCGATTAACTGGGTTTAAAAATGAAATATATGTATTTCCATATAGATGAGAGTCATTCAATATATCAGTAATTAGTAGAAAAGTACTTAAAGCAAATAAATTTGTAGGCTGTAACATGCATCGAATCATACGTCATGTGCGTAAACATAACGAAATATACAAAGCACTAAGAATTAAGATAACACTTTCTATGTCTATCGGTCCAATGTATTGAATCGAATGCCTACTTAGTTTGAACATACAAGAACCTGTGTGTAGGTAGACAAAGCCACTGTTAGTCTCTATGACCTAGAGAAACGATAACAGTATGCGTATGGATTATGCACACAATTGGGTTTTACTCATGTTTTGAAAACTTTAAATAATTTTCTTTCAATAAATGAGGGTGAATTCACAAAGTTAGTTGATTTCAATAAATTTACTGATTCCTGATTGACCTGAGTACCAAGCTTCCAAAATTCAAACTTCATTATTTTGATTTTCAATGGCCTTGATCTAATTTTATTTCTGTAAAATATAATTCGAACATCCTTTCTTTTTTTTTTTAAATTTTATTCTTAGCATGTCCTTCAAGTGTCATGGAACAATATGGAATGGATCAAAATAATCCAATTGATTTAATTTCAAAATTGATCAATAATCCATGGATCTATTCACAAGCTAATAATAATTCAGTAGGTGTTTAGTATTTCAAATTATTTGAATATGTACAAGTCAAACAGTGATATATATATATATATATATATTCAAATTAAATGATGTAAATTGGAAAGAACAAATTTGCACTATCTGCAAGCATGTAAAAGAAAATGATCGCATTGAAACTAATAATCTAACAAACAAGCAGTAACTACCGAAGAAAATTGGGTGAGGTCGCGCAAAGTCCCTAGATCAATCAGAGTTAGACATTAACATAGTTCGAAACCGGCCCAGTGGTTTAATGGTTAGGCGTTCGCGCACATTGCCGTAGGTCCTGGGTTCGAATCCTGCGAGGCGCAGGAGTCGTGGATGCGCACTGCTGATGGGTCACATACCAGGACGAAATGGCCTTCCAGTGCTTCCAGGTTACGAATGGTGGTCTAACAATGGCTGATTGATGATTTGAAATGTGTAAAAACACTAATCTCCATAACTCTAATTGAAAACAAAATTTTATCAGTGATGACGTGATAACACACTAAATTCAAATAACTTACATAATTGTTCAAAAAAATCGATCGTATACAGTTTTTAGGCTGGTGAGGTATAATCTATAATTTTTTTTACAACTTAAACAAAATTCAAGTGGAAATTCTGATGTGAACTCAAATTTAAGGGAAAACATTTAGATTGTACAAAATCTTTTTCTCATTTTATGTCAGCTTAAAAAAAAGAATATCAAAACTCATTGAAAATGATGTTCATTTTTACGAAGTAATTTTTGATAATTATTTAACCCTACTGAATTGATTTCTGGATTATCGATGACCGGAATTGCAGAGTTTTAGGAATTCACGCAATATTTATGCAAATAATTTTATTGAAGCCATATCATTATTTTTCAGTTAGAGTTATGGAGATTAGGGTTTTTTGTGTATTGAAATCATCCACCACTCATTGTTAGATCACCATTATAAACATGGAAGACAAATGGATGAGGTTGCGCAAAATCTGCAGATTGATCAGAGTTAGGCATTAACACCGTTGGATGCCAGACCAGTGG